TTATCCTTCTGTCGTGCAAACCAACTTTTCAAACTCGTATTTTCCAGTGGAAGATGTTTCACCCAAGCAATTCTTTTTTGTTTCATAACTGTTGATCAGTAGTATTGAGTGATCTAACGGGTCAACTGGTTAAGCTAATGGTACCTCTAATGATTCCTTTCACGGTAAAATGTCGCTTTACCTCCAATCAGCACTTCAAGAAAGTACTCCTGAATTGCAACATAATAATCCTGCAACGGGCTACTGCAAATGATGCGTATTCGTCAAATATGCTTTTAATGGTAGAACGCGATTCTTTTTGACAAATTTGTTAATAATAAGCGAGAGGAACCACATCCTCTTATTTGAGCATTGGTACGTTGAGAGGGCTGAATTGGAATATTACTCACTATGCGTAAATTACTGATCGAGAGAGTTTCTAATGCACATCAAAAGTGATATTTGTTATTATTTGATCGTATATGATAGATTTTATGGGAGCACAATAGCAGATATGATTCAAGAAGAGTGCTGAAGGTGGATAAACATCGTTAATTATCTCTCGATTTCTTAATCGAACTTTGCTTCTTCTATCATTGCAATCACGAGTGCTCATAACAGCTGATCGTGATATTGCTTCGTTATTTTTATTGTTGTTCCTTCAAACCTGTTTTATCCCAAACATCTCCAAATCATCCTCCCCAACTCCATTGCTTCTCTTAAATTAACGTCTTCTTACTATTTGATGGATATCCACCAGAAGTTCTTTCACTTGCTAAAGTTTATGTTTACCATAAAAAAGAGCTATAACATTTGTTCCAACTTTGACAATGAGGTTAGTCATCCTGTCACTGAGTACTCATTCCCTAAGATAATTGATTGCAAGAACGTTCTTCACATTGCTTCAGATTCAGCAATCATCTGTTCATCAGATTTTTGACGTCCTTTTGCTTCTGTTAATAACTGATTATGATGAAGTGCCCGTTACACCATATGTCCATTTTCATTCGGATGTTTTTCCAAATCCGCGACCTTTTAAAACATTAATCACGATATCATGATTGGGACTCCGAAATCCTGAGATCTCGTACAAAGACTAGCTCTGAAAGATTATGCATCACCTATCAATGCATCACGTACAAAGACTAGCTCTGAAAGATTATGCATCACCTATCAATGTACTGTATCTTACATGTTCTGCATAAATAGACGTCATTATAATGGTTGCATCGCGTTATCTTCAACATAATACTCCATTCATGATGAAGCCGAACGCTATGAAATCATCGTTGAATCAATCCCATGAATGCATTGTGATGGATTTCAGCTTATTTGAAAGAGTCAAACTCAATAAAATCAGTTAGCAATGGGCGATAGAGTAGAAGTGAATCTGTCGAGCAGTCTTAAGAAGAGCGCAGGTCAGTGGGATTGGCCACTGAACCGCAATGACGGTATCGTTGAGGTGATCAACACCGACGATAAATTCGAAGTGGTGCTCGAAGCCGCTTTCTTCCAACCCAAAGAGATTGAGGTCTGTTTTCAAGGATATTCATTGATCATCGAGTCACTGTCCTGATCATAAAACCACTTAAAATTAGTGAGTACAACTGACAAGGGTTTCGAAAGTTGATAATGTCTCCAGGAATTGCATTGTAACCACATCAACGTTGAGGTATATGAACGATTGAACTATATAAATGATTTTTCTTTGGTTCTTTATCAAGAAGGTTTTCAGCTCCACTCATTTGATATAATCAATTGTTC